TACAGTGCGTGAAGGTACAGAGTTGGGGTACAGTGCGTGGGGGTACAGAGTTGGTACAGTGTGGGTACAGAGTTTGTGGGTACTGTGTGTGGGGGTACAGTGTGGAGTATAGAGTGTGGGGGTACAGAGTGGTACAGTGCGTGTGGGTACAGAGTGTGTGGGTATAGTGTGGGGGTACAGTGGGGGGCCAAGAGTGGGCACAGTGTGTGGGTACAGAGTGGGGATACAGTGGGGGTACAGTGGGGTTAAAGAGTGGTAAAGAGTGTAGGGATAAAGAATCGGGGTACAGAATGTGGGTACAGTGGGGGTACAGTGGGATTACAGAGTGATACAGAGTGTGGGAGTAAAGAGTGTAGGGATAAAGAATCGGGGTACAGAATGGGGGTACAGTGGGGGTACTGAGTGTGCGCCCTTGCCTTGATCTTCTCCACGCACTGTCTCATGGAGGCGACACGCACGCACACCAGCGGGTCAGACCTGATGCTCAGAGCCCACTGCTCGCACTTCTGCTGCTCCGCGGCGCTGATGCAGCACCAGCGCACCACGCTGTCCTCCAGGGAGCTGCCTGCGCAGAGACACCGGCTCAGGGCTGCTGAACACTGCTGTGTGACATCATTTCTTACAAGTGTTCTGGTATTTTGCAACAGGCTGTGGGTCTCTGCTCTCGGCCACTGGCCAGGGTGCCAACCTGTAAACGCAGCGCCTGTGTAAAGACCTTTCAGCAGCAGCGGGAGCAGTACGACCTCTACCTTGTCATGATCGGAGAACCAGACCAGCAGAACAGAGGCTCCTCCTGCCTTCACCTCTTCGGACACAAACACATAATCTAGATGCTTTGCAGCACCTTGGCACCTCAGCACCGAGCTTCTCACCCATGGCTCTAAAAAGCACAGTCGACTAAAAAACTGCCACAAAAAATGCTAAATTGCCTTGTTCCTGCATCATCCTTGTCACTCAAATCTACATGAAGGGTGGGGTACAGGGCACACTGGGGTATAGA